ATATATCCACAACCAGGGTCGACCCATATGGAGAGCCTTCCGTACGACATAGGCAGGACTACAAAAGACATATAGATCATTGCAGTCTCTAATTTTCCATGTATGTATCTGAATGGGACTCTGAGTCTCTCTTTTCTCACACATGCCCCCCCCCCTCTTTCCGCCTTCTTTCTGTGTCGAACTGCACCTCCATGATTCATGAACATCCATAAGCCTGTGGCTGACGTGATTGTCTTACTTTCGCATTGTTTTTTGCATGTGTGACTGTTTTGTTTTCTTTTGATGGGGTAGGAACCGACTTCTCTTCTCCAGCTCTTGCGAGTCGCTGGATGTCTCCTTCCATTATTGTTTCCAGTGTCTCCGTGTCAACCGCATAATGGACAGACATAACATCATATCCGGGAGGGATTACGATAGGAGATCAGCGGAGTCTGTGCGTCGGGTGCACCGTAGTGTGGAGATCGCGGCAGAAAATGTAGGGGCCATGTTGAGCACGATCATAAGGCAGAGAGATGCGCTTACGGACGAGGTGGACGATCTGCATGGAAGAATAAACGACATGTCAGAGAGCCTTGAGCAGGAGAGAGCGCGTAATGTGCGCTTGCGTGATAGGTTCGGCAAAGTGTGCAGAGATAATCTCCGACTGCGTCGTGAGATGCAGCCTACAAGCAACGATGATGCAGAAAACCCGTCCTCGAAAGTGCCCGCAGTTGATCGACCTGCACAGAATAAATCGGCAGGCGCAGCGCAAGTAAAATATGTGTCCTTAAAAGATAAGGCGTCATCGTCGCATTCGACATTCATTTCATCCTATAGTTTGTCTTCCAACAGCAGCTTGGACGAAGCACTGAGCAATCTCCATTTGCCAGACGCATCAACCACGTCCTGTGACACTTTTAAAATAGCATCCGCATCAAGTTTGCAAGGTTCGTCTGTGGATGACGATAGTGATGCAGGTAGTGGCGCGACAAAACCCCTTCGTCGCAGAAGATGATTATGACTATGTGCGTTTGCGCCTTCGTTCCATTTGTTGGATGGAACGTGAAGTGTACTATGCAATTCCGCTGTGTGATTTGTTGGATCGGATTGTAGTCCAGTAAGGCCAATATGCACTTTTTTGTGGAATGTGCCATGTGTCGTACTCGGATTTGTGATATGCGCGCGCCACGCAAAAAAAAATTATACATAGGTGCACTATGTTGGGCCCATGCAACTGCACCTCTTGTATACCCACTTACTGTTTTCTTTTTGCATGCTTGCGCGAGAGAGTGTGTGTGTACTGCATTGGCACATTCGTGGCTTTTCTTCATTCACGGATGCAACACACCTTCATCAGAGTTCATGAGAGGCCACTTCTCGAATATTTAAAAGCACCCTCATCATGCCTGTGTCGAGCCTGAGAGGGTGTTCCCGAACATCCCAGGAAACAGCATGCCATCATTGAAGTCGTGTTTTGCTGTGAATGTATACAAAATATTCTTCTGGTCACAWGAGTCTTGCYGTCTTGATTAGTTCTATCCGAAATAGCAGATGACATGGCAATTGACACCAGGAGTAGCATAGCATAGCATAAGTTAGGGTCCGTTTGACTATCCCGTTGTCGGCGCGAATACCCTTACAAGGGTATCCGCCCTGGTTTGCAAGTGATAGGAAATAAGCTAAGTCTAAAGGTTTGAGTATGCGGCGCGAGACGCGGTGGGGTCTGAGGGCTACGTCGATGAAACTGGTGGGCCAGTTGGAGAGTGTGGGGGCGCGCAGGCTTGAGGCGCGCGTGATTTTTTTCCCCTCTTTTGATCGCAATAGTAAACGTGGCGTGAACTCCGGTCAACGTGCTTCATTATAACAGTCATTTGTTTTGATTAGACAGACTAACCATGAGTGCGTTGTTTTCTGGTTCCGCGGGGTACAGGGAATGGTTCAATGAACCTGTATGGACTTACGCAGAAAACCAGATGATGGGACCTGATGGATTTGGCTAAGGACGGGTAGTCGCGGCAAGGCCGGTAGGCCGACGTGAGTTTGGGTGGTCCCTTGTGCAAGTGTGCGCCGGGAAGTGGTATAGGGCGTTTCCTTGGCCCCAAGGGTCGTGCGCTACCTCTTTATAAGGCGAGTCAGGCCTGCTGGTACCAGGCTTGGGCTTAGCCCTATAGGTTACAGCACCGGACTGGTACAGAGCAGACGCAGGAATCGAGGCCAACGGCGTGCGATAAGGGAGCAGAGGAGCGCGGCCAAAAGGCTTGAGGGGTTGATGGGCCGGTAGGACTATCCCCCTCGCCTTTTGGTACCACGGGGGCCGCAACTTTCGCTTGATTACCGCGTGCATTGCGGTTCTTATATGTCCATATATATATATCTGTAAATATATTATTTATTTTGAAGTTTTTAATACTATTATTATTCATCTCACACCCGTAGGTGGCCACGAAATCGCGCAGGGGGTATGTTGTAGTCACGGGATTGCCTGCAGTGCAATTGCCGGCTGTGATTCGTGGCTGCGCAGGGGCTACCCTGACCGCGCCCGTTTGGCTTAGGACGCGGCACAGTGGACGTGAAGTGGGATCCAAGGGCCTACCTCGATGGTGCACCCACGCGCTGTGGAAATACAGACCCGCAATTGAACTCGGATGGCGGAACTAAGGTATGGAGCAACGACCAAGGGGTGCCCACTTGGGTAGTGCCGAGGGCAGGGGTTACCGTCGCCCCGACAGGGTGCCGCAGGGTCGTGCGACCAAGCGCAGAGCTGTGGAGTGGCCAGTTCGGCCGTTGCATAGCTCTCGTAAGTCCGGGAGTGAACCCGGGCGAGAGAAAAGGGCAGATGCAGATGCGAAAAGGTTAAGAAAAGGTAGGGGCCGGAGCGGCATTTGGAAGCGCCGCGAGGCGCCGACTGCTAGGAAAAGTCATGGGACATCCGTTAAAATTGGAACGATGTAGCGAAGATTAGCATGACCCCCCCCCACAACGATGAGGAGTATAAAGCAGGGGGGGTGGCCTCCCTGTTTTTTTTTGTTTGGGTTAGTACTGTCAGAGTTCCTTCGGTGGTATGTTGCGGGCGCGGCCGCATTACTTGTCGGGGTGCGCTGGAGTACGGGTTGGCAACAACGAGGAGAGGTGGAGAAAGAAATCGGGCGCGGTTGAGGCAGGCAGCGGCACAGCGGAGGGTAGACAATCGGAGCAGCGGGTGTGAGACAGACGCTAGCGAGGGGAAGGGACGGAACGGGACAGGATCTCGCCGCGGATGCATGCTAAGCGGAGCAGCGAAGTGGGCAGTAAGCGGTAGCGAGCGGACCAGCAGGGTGCGGGAAGGCAAGGGGGGAAAGCCGAATGCATCGGGACGGAGTTCGAAGTCGGGTGCATGTGGGGCAGAGGAGAAGGAGGCTCGGCTGTGGCAGAACGGGCGCTGGGTCAAACAAAGGCAGGCAACGACTGTGCAGTTGCGAGCGGAAAGGCAAGGCAAAACACTGAAGAGTGACGGGCAGCAGCGAAGGAGAAGAGAGAGGGAATGAACCTAGGCGCGTTTCGGCGCCGGATTCATTCGAAGAAGGAAGAAGAGCAAGCAAATGTAGTTTGCTCATCTCCAAGCGGAATCAGGCGAGATAAGATTCGTGTTCGGGGTTTTGACAACGAGCGATTCTGCTTTCGAGGTCAGTTTTAGTCAAGGGTCAGTAGGATTAGAGGTAGAAGTAGAGGTTAGTGCGCGGAGTTATGGCAATGGCGGAGGCGGAGGGAGTATTAAGTGAGAGTTCGCACGATTCCTGATGAAATTGACCGAACTAAAGTGCTGAGCGGGGATTTCTTGATCAAGTGAAGCCGATGGCGAGATCAGATCCAAGTGTTAGCTCATAGATTTACTAGGGTAGCATTTCGGGGCTGCGCTCGATTCGCGTTGGCTGTTTGCAATTGAACCTGGCCGTAGTCGTGGCCAGGTACTTATACTGCGGAAAGGTAAGTGCCTCACTCGATTCTTTTCGGAATCAAGCCTGGGGGAATAGCTGATCCATAGTTCTGGGGTGGGCGACCCAGTATATGATGTTAGACTAGGAAAACGGATAGTATGTTAGTAGGAAAACCAGTCCGCCGAGGCTATGGCGGAGCCGCGGAGGGGGAAGAAGGGAGAGCAAGTATCCAGTTCGATCTCTTACGGAATCAAGCGGGGAAAGGATCGAAATTGGGATTCAGGGACATTGTAAACACAAAGGTGATGTCGGTTTTGTCTACGGGATAGGGATGTGGCCGGGGTTAGTGTTACAGGCCGCGCCAGAGGAAGATTCGAGATTGCAATGTGTCCTTCCAGGCTCCAGCTACTAGCGAAAGATTCATAAAATCCTGCTTAGCCCTTTGATGCGGGGGCGGGGTGAAGTTAGCCACAAGGGTGGGCAATCACCTGTTGACCAGTGCATGGCTTCGTTGTAGGCTGCAGTTCGTGTATGCAGTAAGTTAGAGGGGGAAAGCTGGAGAAACGGGATCCTAGGATGGCAATGTGTCTTTCCACGTCTCAGTGGAAGATTCAGTCGACTGTGCACATTTTGATCTGCCTACACACAATAGCCCGTAAACACAACGTGTCCGCCGGCACTCAGGCAGAAGAGGGCTGTGAGTTTCGGTCGGGTGTTGTTGTTTGAGTTACCGACAGTGGACGCATTGGTTACGGTCCATGCACGCAGAGAGAGAGAGGGAGAGAGGCTACGTGCCGGAGCGGAGAAGGTGACGGGTGCCTGCCGGGGTGACTCCCTGGCTCAGTACGTGGTGGGGCTCTATAGTCTGCGGACTTCAGTTGCGACCTGAGCTGGTAGGATGCTGCCCTGCCCCGTGTGTGGCACTGCACATTCAAAGTCCGCGACTGTGTAGACCGTGCATCTGCAGCAAGTTTAGTCTGTGTATTACAACAAAAGTCGGACTATGCTGCTGTCCGTGCCTGCGGGTTCGTTACTAATCCTGGGTTTGCTGCCAAACAATGGTCAGGGATGCATGTGCTGAGCTACCGTGGTTGGTAGTCCTGCCCACTCGGGCAGTAAGCTTCATTGAGTTAGTCCAGTGAGGGCTTAGAACCGCTGTGTGGTCAGGTAGTGCTGCGATTTGTGGGGATCAGCTAGGGAAAGGCAGACAACCGTTGCCGCCAACTGTTGACATCGGCATACTAAGGCCAGCTACTGCGGATAGTAGTATTTGTCTGTTGGTTGGACCCGGATGCCACTGCTCTTAGACTGTGGGCTGTGTTTTCGGTGTGGGTGAGAGACTGATGAAGGGCTAAGCCGCTCATTGACACGTTGACGAATTGGGGGACGGGCGGGGGCGGAGGGGGACGTGGATCGGGATCGGGCTCGGCGCCTTGTCGGTGCGGCTCCCGAGGTCATGGCAACAAGGTCCCCATGTTCCGGCTTGGGCGGCTCGGGATCCTCGAGAGGATCGTTCGGTGCAGGATCGATCGCCGGCCGCTTTCCTTCCGCGATCTCTTTTTTGCGCTGCGCAGCAGCCTCCGGGTTCTCCTCTCACCGATCCGGTCCTGGCACCCACTCGAGCTCGTCGTGCGTTGGCCCCTGGTCGTCCCTCCTTTCCACTTCTTCGTCGTCTTCCTCCTCCTTCTCACTTTGCTCGCCCTCGCTGTATTCGCTATAGGCCTCTTCCTCTACCTCCGAAGTCTCCTCTTCTGCGTTTTCTTCTTCTTCTGCTGCTGCTTCTTCTTCTGCTTCTGCTTCCACCGACTCTTCTTCCGCTTTTTCTTCTTCTTCGGCTTCCGCTGACTCTTCTTCTGCTTCGCGCTCTTCTTCCTCCTCCTCGGCCAATCGGGCCTCTGCTTCCCCGACCTCTCTCCTCAACTCTCCTTCTGATTCCTCTTCGGCATCCTCTTCTGCTCTCAGCGCCACCCACTCGAACGCCATTGGCTTCCGAAAGAAGCGGGGATTAATCAGGCTGTGGACGTCCAGGTACTCGCTACAGGAGGGAAAACGGTCGGGCTCTTCGTCACTCTGAGAGATGATATCAAGGGGAAGCTCGTCGGCCACTCACGCGATCACGATCGTAAGTTCGTGCACGATCTGTGATCGGTTTCCCCGATCCACTGCTCCAAAGATGAATCACTAAAGGTCTCTCGCCATGCAAGTCCTCCATGCCTGAATGACGAGCAACTCCACAATTTCCGACGCGGGCCTCTGTTCGCCTTCCCACGTCCAGTTCAGATCCACTCGTAGCAGGCAAAACGAAAGCTCGACTAAGTCTGTACGCCACAACCTCCAACGGTCCGGATCAATGATGGGTACTGTCAGTGGCTCCAAACGGAAGGAGAGACGAGGGTAATGAGAGGACTGCCAGAAGATGGGGAAAAGAGAGGGAGGAGAGAACGTCGAAATTGGCGTGCAGCTCATCTGCGCGGCTGGAAGGGAGCAAGTTCTGGGAGGACGACAGGTGGCTCGCGTAGCGTCGTGCGCAGCGTGTTGACTTCGATGCCGTCGACAGGATAGCACTCGTCACTGTGCCTTGTGAGCCGTCGATCTCAATCAGTGGCCAGATCGCGACCCCACCGGTACAAGGTGCTTTTGATGGCGGTTTGTCGCGCCGGATCGAAGGCGGTGATGTCGCCGCTGAAGACTACCACGGTAGACACGTGGCTGATTCCCGGGGCCGCTTGCCGTTGAAATGTCGTTGCCTCGGCCAGCACCACTACCTGGGGATTGCTCGTGAATCGGAACTCTGCCGCGCCGTATTCACCCGCAGTGCAGAAGAACTGCGCAAGGCGCATGAAGTCGGGGCTGATCCGCGGATGATGCACTTGGCGGATGGCTGAGATCTCTCCCTGTGGCATCAGCAACTGATCACTGAAAGCTCGCTCGATGGCGAAACTCATGGCGATGGCGGGGGTGACGGGGTGGCAGAGAGGGAGCAGGAAAGAGAAGGAGATGGCAGAGAGTTAGAGTTGCCGTCGTCGGTTTCCTCAAGGAGAAAGATCGAGGGAGAAGGAGACGGAGCAGAGGGGAGGAGTCGAAGATAGGATACGTGGCGTGTGATTGGACGAGCCGATCGGCTGCCAAAGACCTCGGGCGCAAGTCGCACGGTGTTCACACTGTTCGGTCCGAGTTCGATCACGCGAAATCGCCCGTAGAATCATGGCGCTAGCTTACCCTGGCGAGCACATTTCCTCACCTGCACGGCGTCCCCTAATTTGTACTGGGTCCGTGGACCCGCATTCCCATTTCGGGCCTCGTAGCTCCGGACCTGTCGGCCCTGGGCTAGTTCGGTCATTTTCTGTCGTTTTCGCGCTAGCCTGGGCAGTGACCGTTCCATTAGCTCTAGGTGTCGTTTGGCCTTGTCCCTAGCCGTGGCCCTGGTGGGCCGTTGGTTCAATGTAGACTCGTCCGGGAGGCTTGGTATCGAAACGCAAGCGACGCTATGGGTCCTTAATTGGAAGGGGCTCAGCCCCGTCGATTCGTGGGGCGTTCCGCGATGGACCGCCAGGATGTGATCGATGATATCGGGCCAGGGTCCCGGATCTTGGGGCGCAATGTTTCATCGCAACGCTGTCTTTATCACCCGGTTAGCATTTTCGACCAGCCCATTGGATTGTGACATGTGGGGTGCAATGTTCCGTATGGCGACGCCATGTATGACGAGGTTCTTTAACACTTCTGTGCTGAATTCCGCTTCGTTATCGGTCAGGATCTCTTCCATATTCTGATGCATCCCGAGGAAACGGTTGACATATCGCGCAATTTTCGTGGCTTGCCGCGTGCGACAAGGATACTCTTCGATCCATTTCGAGAAATGGTGGACAAATACCAATAGGACTGAATATTCGCAACTATTGGGGCCAAGGGGCACCACTATGTCGGTAGTGTCCATGCTTACTCTTTGAAATGGTCGTTCAACAACCGTGGGGACTATCGATCTTGGCGGCTGAATAGGCGCCTTATCAGCGACGCAGACTTGACAATTGGCGACAATGTATTTCACATCGTCGCGGATATTGGACCAATACCACTCATTTTTGTCGATAGCGGACTCCGTGATCCGCACGGCAAAATGGGTTGCAGTTTCCTCGTGGGCTATCTTAACCCAGTCATACCGCATGAACGGGTGTGGTACCACCATCCAAATCCCACTGCCGTCCGTTTTCCATTTTTCTAATCTACCCTCTATCCATCGATAATCCCGAGCCCTTTCGTTGGCCCTCCTCCGGTCTTCCTTCGTGAAATCCTGGAAAAGGTTACCTACTCGGGTGGCGATCAAGGCAATATCCGTCCATACTTCGGCCTTTCTAAACTTCCGGGTCTTTTCCAATCCTTCTGACGTGGCATCCAAAAAGCGAGCCTCGGTTGGAATCTTGTGGGTCCGGCACAAGGGGCACAACCATGGTTTATTATCGTTTCTGTATTGGATGCACGAGCCATGGGCTCGTGCAACACACTATCGGCAATCTATCCAATCCGCATATCCTTCCCCRTYAGGACGCATGGAGACYGCRTATACGCGGGARWTAGCTTCGCAAAAGTAGCAAAATTTGTCAGGCAGGGAGAGGAGAGACGAGGAGGAAGGGGGAGAAAGAGGGGTAGTGGGGTTACCTCCATCACCCATCGCCACCGGTTTGCTTCTTGCCACATGGGAGAACTGCCACTTGTCCGTATTTCGGCTCGTTCGTTAGATCTGGCTCTTTCCACAGTGTGAATTCCTTGCCCTTTGGTACCTTGGTAGGTCGATGCAGACGTGTCAGCCCGTCCGCGTTGCCGTGTCATTCTTTCTTTCGATGGACGATATCGAAATCGTATTCTTGCAGTCGCACCGCCCAACGACCAATCATGCCCGTGTAGTTGGTGAGTTTCTTCACTGCCAGCAAAGGCTTGTGATCCGTTACGAGGCGAAACTTTTGTCCGTAAAGATACGGATGGAAGTGCTGGATTCCCCAAACTACCGCATAGCACTCGCCTTGAGGTGCGGAGTCGTTTTTTCATTCGTCCGGTACAGTTCGAGACGTGTACTCGATGACGTGTTCGCGACCATCGTTCCCCTTCTGTGCTAAAATAGCGAAAATAGCTTCTGGTTGCCAGTCCGTGATGAGAATGAACTGCTTCGAGGGGTCCGGCCGAATCAAAATAGGGGCCGTTGCCAGACAGTTTTTGAGGGTTGCAAAGGCCTGTTAGTACTCCTCGTTCCAATTGATAGGCTGGTCCTTCTGTAACAGATTTGTTAGTGGTCGTGCAATCGTGGCAAAGTCGTTGATGAAGCGCCGGTAGTACGACGCCAGCCCTAAGAAGGCTCCCGAATTCGTTCGAGCGCCTTTTTGCGTTCAATCAGGGAATAGTGATAAGGTTTGCAATGAATTGGGGAGTGATTTCCTATCTGAATTTTATGTTTGATTACTAACGACAACTCAATGTCAGTGTTTGACACACTAATTGCTCCTTGGTATTCCGTTAAAATATCCGCAATTACCTGGTGGATTTCATCCGGCACATATTGTGGCACATGCAGTTCGAAAAGTTGGTCCCAGATCCGAACCTCAATCTGTTTCGTGTTCGTCTGTTTTATCAAATCGGGTGAGGCGCCGAGATGAATGAATGATCCGATCGCCATGAGATCACCGTGGCAATCATTAGAGCATCTTCTTCTCGTATTGCCACGTGTCCTTCTGGGGTAATCCCGTCACAAACATCATGCCACGACACTTCCTTAGTTGCGATCTTTATCCCCAATCCGTTTGTTTCTACTTCGAAACGCCCAGGGGATTCCAGAGAGCTTGCTTCCGCCCCCAAATGCAACAATCTCACTTCTTTGGCCGAGGTTAGTAAGGACTTGGGTAGATCCGTAATATCACAGTAATGCTTCTTGTCGCTGTACAGGGCGAGGAGAGGGGTGATTCCTTCGTACAGAGTTTGAGGGGGTTCCAAAGAATCGACCATCCTCGAAATCTGTACGAGGGGCTCACCCAAGATCATCGCCTTGGTTCTTTGAATTTTTCGGCTGGTCAGTTGCATCGTTCTCGCTATCGTTTTGGGCGGAGGGTAACAAACACGTTGTCGTGCCAATTTCAGGATCTCCGGATCATCTTCGTCACTGCTTTCCGTCTCATCAGTTGTTGATTTTTCCTCTGCGGGTTCATCCCAGAAGATCATGCGGAGAGTCCCTGCCATCATCAGCAAAACTCGCGGAACCGCGTTAATAGTAGTGCGAAGGGTCAATCGCGTGGGCACAGCGTAGGGTTTTCCTCCTGTATTTCGGAGGACAATCGATCGTCGTTCGAGATCCAGGTTTGTTCATAACACCACAAGAGCAGGAAGTCCGAAAAGAACGTCGTACGTATTAACATCTAATACTACGACATCCCCAAGCGCGTGTACTTTTCCTAATCGGAAGGCGACATTGGTCATTCTCCCCACAGTTTTAATATTTTCCTCATCTGCCGAAATGAGCTGATCTTTCTCGGTGAGCATGGTCAGGTCGTTTTTCCTACCGGCCCTTTCGACCACTCTTAGTGAGATAGCCAACACAACCGCTGCTCAATCTATTATCACGTTGGAAGGAATTCCCCAAATTTCAATATCACATTCTGCGGACTTCCACGGAATCAGTTTAATTCGTAAGAAGTGATCGTCTTTCTGAATTAATCTCACCCGTATTGGATCCAGAGTGCTTGTTGGGTTTTCTTCCGGCGCAGGGCCCTTGGCTTTGGCACTTGGTGTTCGGGCGAGGGCAAATCGTTTTCGGTTTGCTTTGCAATGCTGTAGCATTCGCTCATTGGCTTGCTCAGAGATCGAGAGTAGATGACATATCGGTAGTGGAATCCGATGGTCCAAAGCTTGGGTAATGTTTAATACATCGATTTCTCCTATAACGAAGGACGGTCGCCACTCCGCCACCTCTTTTGGTTCCGACGCTGGTCTGATTGTTCTGATCATTCCAAGTCCAGGATATCCCAGCGACACATACTGATCTAGCGGAATGAGCTCGGCGGCCTCTTCCGTGGTGGCCAAGACACTTCCCCCACCCTCTACTTCTTCCATCAAGGCTCCGA